ACATGTATGACGGACACAGTACCCCATTTGGTTAAAGCAACAGCACGGAACGCTGTGGATGGATATTATATTTCAATATTTCTTATCGAACCAGTAGTTCCTGAAATTAGCGCGTTTAAACAAACATACAAACTCTTCAGCCTTATAATATTAGTATAGATAACATTTATTTTATTACATTGAGAAATGAAACCATTTGTATGTATATTTTGCATTTCTCCATCAATGTCATTGAACCACAGACAATCGAAGCATTTGAATTCGATTGTCGATTCTATGTGTGAATCAATACAGAATCGATTCTCTTATCTTGAGGAAGATCAATGTCGCGGTGTCAAGTCGGGTGGTTGACGTCACATTGTTCCGACATATCCTACTGTCCTCCACTTCAGTCGGATTGTCCAAATGGTACAATTGTCTGCTATCCAATACTTAAACACTGGTTACATTTGCATATTTCAAGCCTAACAGCGTGTGAAACACTTGTCTCAATCTTTGGTACTTATATCAAAAACTCTGTTCCTTGATTGCTTGATCTTAATGGTCATCATGAGAGAAGTCCTGAGTTCGAATCATGAAAATATTCGGGAGTTTCAACGGTTTCAGTCTGTGCGACACAGGTGGCTGCAAATAAAATTAATCAGTATACTGTAGACACAGAAATATGTCTGTCCCCTATATATGGGAACAGGATTTTTGCTTTGTATTTTAATGAAAAATTATAATTCATATGTTTAGGCTATTAAATAAATTAAATAATGTCTGTAGTTAGCGCGAGTAGAACACATTTAAGTAAAACGAAATATTTCATTTAGAGATAACTAGATTAGAAATTAATGCATTTCGCGTTTTAAACCGTTAAAAATGTTTAATTTAAAATCAATTAGTAAAATTCACACGAAGGAATTTGTTCCCGTTATGCGCAATGCCAGAAAAAATACTTAAAGCTCATTAAAGACCATAATTATGACTAAAACATTTCAACCAATATCATTTAGCGAAATCGTAACTAATACCCAAAGCTCACGCGAAGCGTACAAAAAATGGTTGCATTCAAATCTTTAAGTGAAGACTGGTCATCATAAATATTGAAGCTTTAACTCTTTTATGTAACAATCGCTTTGATCAATCAATTAAAACCGCGACGCGTTGAAATGCAAATCATGCTTCGAGTTTGTTTAGAGCTAGGCTCTTTGAAGGGAATTTGAAATGTAAAACATTTCTTGTTAATGTTTCACCCCTTTGAGGTCGCGATCAATAGCAGTCACTCAACAAATCGTTAATCAAAGTATTAAATGAGGTAGTGTCTATTGTGTCGGTTGCAGGCACATTTTATGCGTGATTTATTAATGAGAGTAATTTTAAAATACGATTTTATGTGCGGCTTCTTAGATATTATTGAATAGGTCAGCTACTGGCGGGGAAATGCATTTTAAGAAAATAGTGTCAATTTATTCAAACGCAAGTTAAGAAAGAGAAAAATACCTCTACAATATTAATAAAAAAACAAACAGCGTTTGTTCTTTGCCAAATCTAGTAGTACACACGATAGTAGTACACATTTAAATAAAACACTTTAAGCTGTAACTACGGCTGCTGCTGCATCCGAAACGTCGGGCTGTCTTACCTTGCGCGAGATGTGCATGTATCAATAAGTTGAAAAAAAAATTCGACGATGAGGCGTAATACTCGGTAGCTCAATTGGCACAGCACGGAACGCTGACGATACTGGATCAAGTCCTGCACGAGTCGAATTTTTTTTCAATTTATTTTTGATTTTTAAATGATATAGAACTAGTAAGGTACCTTACTACTTCTTCCAAATGAAGGTTTTTTTAGCACTCCAGCATGTTTCCAATAATTTAAAATTAAATTAACAGCGCGGACTCAGCTTTATTCTATATGTATATAGAAGAATGCAAACCTAGCAACATTTAAAAACAGATTAAACAAACCTAAATTATTTATTTGTTTTGTCCCACACTACTCATGCGTAACACGGCAGATGACATTGTTCCCATAATCATCACGCCAATCCCACGGATGGGTACAAATACGTTGCATCTCATAATTTGTTCAAAATAATTGTTTTATTTGCGTCAACCGGTGGATAATTGTTTTCAAAGGGGGATGTCACAACACCATTATTGCATTCCCAAATTATGTAAACGTTATATTGGAATGTAAATTGCGAGAAGGGTGTAAACACCTAAGTGATTGATGGGTCAAAAAAAAATAAACTACTAGCTGCGTCATCGACTTCATCCGCGTAGAATAGTAATTTTGCACATCAAAATTTGTTTTGCAAACTTCCTCTTTATCTTTATTTCATTTTAGCTGTTATCCACGTAAGTCTTGTCCGGTCGTTCTTGCAAGTTAACCTTAAGAGGTAGACATATAGTGTCCCAGACATTTTTGTTTATTCATATTTCATTATATTTTTGGTACCTTGCACCGTTTCCGCAGCGTGCGCATCGGAAACTCACAAAGATCAATACTTTACCCCGTTTTTTCCGCAATTTCTTCGCTCCTATTAGTCATAGCGAAATTTTTTATAACCTTCTTCGATAAATACTCTAACCAAAACAAAAATATTTTTTCAATTCGAACCAGTACTTCCTGAGATTAGCGCGTTCAAAGGAACAAACCAACTCTCCAGCTTTATAATTTAGTATAGATTAGAATTATTGATAAATCATGTTGTTCGATTTTTATTTTTGTTACTATTTGTGCAATTCAGACTCGAGCATGGTGTGTTATTCAATAATCATTATATAAAAAGTACTTAAATCGTGCATAACAAGTTATTTAATAGCTGATACAAAATGTTTTGACATATAATCATTGATTCATTACAAATAAGCTTAAGAGCCGATTTAATTGCATTAGTTCAAAATGACGAACTCTTGTTTTGACTTTGAATCAAATCACTGTGACAGGTTTGCACAAAACGTAAATTATGGTTTGTATTATTTTAACATACTGGACGTTTGAGCAATAAATCAGGAGAAATTGTTTGAACCCACTTTGAAATATAAAATAAATAAATGAAACACTAAAAAGGCTGTAAAGAAGAAGAAGAAGAGTCAAAGGGTTTTCATAGGCTCTTTGAGCAATGTACGGCTAATAAACGAGTCATGGGTTTGATCCTCACCGGGTCCAACATTCTGTCAATCAAATTATATTTTTGTGATAACTTCGTCTAGATAACTCAATTTTAAATAGGTGGTAGGAATATCAAAATACCGTCTGGGTCACGAATCACTTGGCAAGTTTAATCGCGGGTCGGTTTCAGTCTCTATATCTAGATATCCAAATATCCAAAGCCAAAATAGGTGAACAGCGCAACTTGTTTAAATATCATAATATGTTACCTACCAACAAATGAAAACCATGCTATCCGCTTCCATCATAAAAGAACTAATTTTATTGTATTTGAGTTAGTACGTAACAATAAAAACTTAAATTTAAACTAAACGATAAATCTATTTAGAATGACAAAAAATTACGACACGAGCGCGACTTGAACCTACATCTATAGCGTGCTGTACTCTACCCAATTGAGCTACCTGTGTACCTCTGAAGCTGCATCAAAATCAACTGAATTAAGATTTTCCGATTTATTAAAACAGTACAAAGTAACGCAGTCTTAAATTATTAGTAGATAAGAATGTTATTAACAAAATGTCTCGATATTATGATAACTATCTATAATATGCACCTCATTACCTCTAACCACACTCATTATTGAAGAAACGGAACGATTTGAATCCCCGCTATGTTAACACGAAGTGACATGAATATTTTATTCCTAAACGAAGTTTACAAATTAAATTAGTAACTTATTTGAATGAAAATGTAATCAATTAGCCACGTACACTATCACCGTGTGAAAGGTTCTTACCATAAAACCAATATTCGTTTCTACTAATTGATTTAAAAGCAACTAATTATGCTCCGATTCAATCGGTCATTTTATCAATTAAGTTTACTTAAAACCACTCGGAGAAATCACTTTAAGTAAGTATATTTATTGTATTTAGTTTACGCTTTTTTGCTTTACGTCTAGTTGGAAATAAGTCAAGTAATATATTTAAGTATTATATCGGTAAATAGTATTTTATTTATATGCCAAATTGTAGTATATAAAAATATGTATAATAGAAAATAGGTAAAAAAAATTAGTTAGATTGCAAATTGATGTTTAATTTATATAACACCGTGTACAAAATATTAAAGTTTCAAAGGACTTACAAATATACATATAACAACAATATTTATTTAGTGAATACCTCAGTATCTAAAAAAAATTGTCGGCGAAGATTACTTAATGTTAAGTTCTTATAGTTAAACTATGACATTTATTATTAAGAAATATTTAACATCGTCCCATATTAAGATGCACAGGCTCCGATAAAGTTCTTATGGCGATTGATTTATTTAAATACTACCGAAATCGGATAGATTGTTATGCGATACTGACGCTCGGGATCTTTGTGAGAAAAGCTTCGTAGCGGCCTCTACATCAAATTCCTATCATTTATTTTTAATCTTCTTAACCCGCGGAATAGTAAAGCTTAACAACATATTTATATTCGTTATCATATTATATTCGTTAGCGAACTAATAAATTTTATTTCATTCGATGTAATAAGCTCAAGGTAGTGACCATCGATAAAAACCGGGCACGCGTTAGCCATTCCCTGCCCGCGCCACGATCCCCTATCCATCCGCCAGGTACGGACCCGTACAAAGGGAAGGGATGATGGAAAATAATAGGGGAAGAGAATTTTAAAATTTATATTTTTTTGCAGCCGGCGCAGGTGATATAACGCGTGCGCGGGCGCCGCCGACTCACTTGTGCGTGAAGCTCCGTTGCCGCCGCTCGCTACGAAAGCTCCCACAAAGCCTCCCTCTATCGCGACGGCCAGTGCTTTTCAAGGCGTCGCGCGGATCGGTTGTGTGCATAATATCTGAAGTGACTCGCGTAAACACGTAATATGTTACAAGAGATACAACTCCTTCAAGGTCAAACGAACTACGTTGTAGTTTCGTCCGGTTATCCATCGGCGACCGTAACCAAAACAAATATGGAGAAGAGGGTCGTACCTATCGCTCCGGCTCCTGAAAAGAACTATGTCACTCACGATACACCGCCGAGCCTTCAGTTCAGGAAGAAAGTACACTTTAGAACGAATCCATATACCGGACCTCAAGCCGCTTCTATTGCGAGGAGAAATGCAAGGGAACGAAATCGCGTGAAACAAGTGAACGACGGTTTCAATGCCCTTCGTCGTCACCTGCCAGCGTCTGTTGTTGCGGCCTTATCAGGTGGAGCGAGGCGCGGTTCAGGAAAGAAGCTAAGTAAAGTGGACACGTTGAGAATGGTCGTTGAATATATTAGATATCTACAACAACTATTGGAAGAAAGCGATGCAGCCCTTGGAATTACCCGTGAACAGGAAAATAGAGAGAACATACCGACCCAGTCTATGACCTCGGTATCAGATATGGATGACAGTTTTTTCTATAGCAGCGGTTCACCTTGCTCCGAGAAGCCTGGTTCGCCAGCACCCTCAGAGTGTTCCTCTGGAGTATCATCAGCCTATTCTCCTGTAGATACGAATCGGTACGAAGTGTCGACGCAGCAACATCTCGGCCCGATGGATGAAGATGAACTCCTAGATGTCATTTCTTGGTGGCAGCAGAAATAAAAGTATAGGTAAACATTTTTAATAATAAAAATAAAACTTATATCCATAATTTTTACTCGTAATGTATTGAAAATGTTTGTAGTAACCAAACTAATAAGACATTGTTTTTGTTCACAGGTAATCTGAATTGAAATTGGACGAAACCCTCCGACACCGTAGTTTGTCTTGTTAATAGTGAAGACGAAAGACTCTGGTATATCTAGTCAACCAATAGTGCCTTAATACGTTTAATTTAGATAATACGACGTGAACAGTTGAATTAGTTGTGGAAAAAAAGGTTTTGTTACCGTAATAAAGATCGCAACTTGTGTTACGAAGCGGATTGTAAATACTAGGTTTAAGGTAATATCATCCACGATGGTAATATTAAATTATTTATTGAATCTTTGCAATTTTATTATACCCACACATTATTCAACAAAAAAATTACATTGGTTTAATTAAAAAATTTTGAATATTTAAAATATTCACATACACATGAATGTTAATTTTTCATTATTTTCTTAATATACAAATATCAATCTTCAATAGAAAAATTTTCAAGATTTCACACACACTATATTTAGTCAAAATCGATTTTAGATTAAAAAACATCGACCTACCGATACATGCACCTCTCAAAATAACATAAAACACCTAAATTTAAAACGTTGGACACACAAACCGATAAAAGTGGTATTAAATAATTAAACGTACAGATACAGTAACACAAAATATCAAGACATTATAAACACATAATGCACAATGTCTAGAAGTACTTTTGTCCTTAATTACCTAAATAGATACAAGAAATTAAATTAACAATTCAACGTATTTAAAATCTTAAATAATTAAATTATAATAGAAACAAAACATTAGCTATTTATTTTATTTCAAAAAAGTTCTTATTATTTCAGTTCTGCTCGAGTCGAAAATTTTTTCAATTTATTTTCGATTTTTAAATTAAAATGTTTCTATCCACATTTATACATACGCAGAAATAGTCTTATTGGTGTTTCTTTACCCGTATTTAAAAAACCCTTTATAGAATGATTGTTTATAGACTTATACAAAATATGAAAATATAGGCATATTTATAAATAAAAAAAATACTTTTGAATTCGCACTGTTTATACTAAATAGCTGAAATCATCCATTTGTAGACTATTATATCTAGTTTTCACTTTAAAAACTAACGCAAACAAATAATAACGAAATTAAAAGATGAAACCGTGATGATATTAAGGGTGGTTGTCATTTTCTTGTATCTACCCTTTCAAACGATAAATCATTGCCCACATAGATTTAGCACGCTAGATGATATCAATATTTCCCGAAAATAAAAAATACCTCACACGAAACAAATCAACTATTATTATACGACATCTCGATTGAGGCACGTTCTATTAATTTATATCCAATGTGGGTGGATAGACTATTATTTCTTTACGAGTCGCAGAAATAACTATAATTTTTATGACATTTTTATTAGGGACCACGGATTAAAAATAGCGTTTGGAAGAAATGTCATGTTTACTTAACTGAGTGGAGCATTAAATTAAACACTTGTAACGGTTTACAACGTGGAATCTATTAGTTATTTTGTAACTTAGTATGGGTACGCGTCATTTTATTTAAAATAAGAATGATGCAAAAAATCTATGCTATATTAATTATGCATATGGATATTATCTTACGAATATTCTTGTTATACAATTCGGTCATATTTGACTATTCGGTACATGTTTCGAAGTGAAGGACTTTTTATATGGAATTTTGAGTGAGAAATTAATTTTGGTTCTTGACTTGCGTGAGATCAAAACAATGTTACAAAAACGTTATTGTTTTGATAAAAAATGACACGGCTTAGAATTATCAGATAATAAGCGTGGGCGGGGTCACAACAAAAGAGAAATTGGTTAACACCACACCGACACAATAAACTTGAAGTTTTGATTCGGGTGTAAAATTGATGTTTTCAAACATTCTTTTGTTCAGTAGTTTTAACTTTTTTTCACATTTCCTGGACATCATTTATACGACTGTTTGTTTAGTAGATCGTCCTATGTTTTGATACATATGTTACAGGCATACTGATTAAATAGCTATTATACAAAATGACTAACAACTATATATTATACAAAAATTGACTAGACAATTTAAGAAATTAATTACTGTATTTGAGCTTGTCAAAGTTAGCCAAAGTAATAAATACAGTTTATACCCCTATATAATTATTATTCCTCCATCACTTCATCCCCCCTATCTTGTGGCGTGGTGAGCTTTAAATTTACTTTAAAAATTAAAATTCAAATAACCTTAAAACAATGTAAATTAACCTACAATTTTTATTAATGGAAATTAATTTAAAATTCTTAAATAAAACTTTATTATTGTTACATTAAAAATAACAGTATAATGTTGCTACATATTATGTAGTTGGGTATGCTTAAGACAAATTGAAATGTAATTTCATGATCTTTATTTACTTTACTTTATTACATTACCCGAGTCTTTGAAGATTTTAAATAAAATTGTCAGTTAATGAGATTAATTCTGTGTCAATAATCAATTTATCTAAATTGAGCGGACATTATAAAACGTGGCTTGATATGTTATGCTTTAACTGTAACATATACAGTAACAAAGTGTTCAGTTGCCAAATTAAATCTGGCGCCTCTAAAAAGGTTGTATAGGTTATTAAAACTTTTTGCCGCTTGTCATGAATCTCTTCTTGACATTGTAAAGAACTTAATCGTATCAGAAGTCTGTGCTAGTGGAGATCGCATTTAGGAAGTTTATCTTGCTAATGATGTTTAACGACGGAGCTCCGCAGTGTTATCACTAGCTGTCGCCTACAGTAGCTACCCAAGTTCGCCATAGCTTTACTAAAATAGTCTATAATGTTCAAGAATTAAGGATCTATATGGCATGCAGGTAAACTTGTAGCAAAATAGTAGTAGCATTTTCTCATCGGCCGTCCCTTTGTCGCCTCTGATATCTCAAAAGTAAATTAATTGACGGATTGCGGTAGCTGTATCGATTATTCTTTTTCTGACATTCAACGGCTTTTGTCACTAATTTTATCTCTACAAGGCTAAAGTAGAATTCAAAAGAAAATTGGCATTAATAATATAATTTTAATCCATCTGTCCCAATTCTGTATTAGTATAACGAGCCGTGGGTTCGATCCCAATCTAATTTATCATTTTTCCAATCAATTTATTATTTTGAAACATGTTGGAGGTTAAATACTGTCTATAGTTTACGCGAGTAGTACACATTTAAATAAAACACTTTAACAGTCTCCCCGTGACCACGGCTGCTGCAAAGCATCCGAAACGTCGGGCCGAAGTTAAAAATCATTTTCAAATAAGTTTGACTAATATATCGCGTTTTAAACCGTTAAAGTGTTTTATTTAAATGTTGGAGGTTGTTTGAAAACCTGGATGTTCAATGTAGGAATATCAAGATTCTGTCCGGGTCATGAACCACCGTCCACAGATGGAAAAGACGTCGCGTTTCGGTTTCATTCTGTAGACTTCCGAATATTTAAAGCTAAAATAAGCCGGCAGCGCATCTTGTTCAGATATTATGTAGCTGGGGTATTTCATCTACTATCGAGTGGACCTCATGTTTGCCTGGTTTTATCTCTGGGCTCGAATTTCAGTAAAATTTACAATTAGCGAAGCGGATACAGAAATATGTCTGCGAATACTAAATTTAACAGGATTTTACACAGCGTTGAAATAACCTTCATTTTATATCGGATTTTAATAGAGCGGGTGTACGTAATTGTAATTGAATTTCGGCTGCGGGAACAAAGGCCGACTACGGCTGTCGGCCGCATTAACGCCCTACAACAATAAATCCAGGAGGTATACCGCCATCGGGCTAATTACTCTGGATATCGGTTGATATACTGTCTACTTAGGAGCCGTGATGTATGGCCGTACTCAAAGGAATGGACGCCGCGTGCCCCGGGCGCGGGCTATATACCACGATTATAATTATGCACGTTTAGGATAATCTGTGGACAAAATAAAGTTCACAGAAGCAAACAATCGAGTCGCTGCCCACAGATAAAGCCTTATTTATTACATGTATGACGCCCTGCGTTCATGTTTCAATAAAATAAATACGATAGCTAACATGATCTTCATAAATAAGGGAATGTGGCGGACAAAAAAATTGATTCGTGGACAAGCCCCTCAGTACTCATCCATAAAACATAAGAACCATTAAAGTCGAGAATGAAGGACTTTACGAAACTATGGGGCAGCTTCTTATAAATCGACATCGAATAAGATATCCAGAGCGAAGTATTGTGGTTGAACAACAATAAGATCTAGATTAGTGATGCGTATTGTGTCGCCAAAGGGTTACTCTTTTGTGCTCAACACAAACGATGCGCCCGCGCACAAAACGCTCCAGTGAAATTTTCAATTATTGATTCTATACGGTTTCTGGAAGTTTGCGTAGATGGATAGATTAATGATACGTTTGCAATTTTGAATTTGTATTCTCGCGTTTATATTATGTTAATCCTTGTGATAACTTACAATATATTGTACATAAGAGAAATTTAATTTGTCCAGTTGGAATAGACATATATTTATGCCTAGTAGTGTCTAAGAAGGTGATCAATTTTATGTGGCTTTAACGAAGATATGTTATGGATTGAAATCCAGAACATACCGTTAAGTCAAGCAATGTGTTAGCCTTTTATTTTAGGAGGTGTATTAGTAAAAAGCTATAAATTCTAAAAAACTAATGAGTTTTTACAAAAATAAAATAACATACTATGACAGAAGCCACATAATTGGTATTGATGAATTGGCTGGTTTAGTATATTTTACATTTAAAATCATATTTTTTAATTATATAGACAATAATTTTAACCAAAAATCACTTTAATATTTTTCTCATTTTATTGCATTAAATAAATAAAAATAATAGTCAAATAAATAAATAAGGATAATAGATTGAAAATACGACACAGGCAGGATTTGAACCGGCAA